AAAGTAATAAATAAAGTCATAAAGCTTACAAAGATGACAAGATTCTCTTCTTCAAAAGCTTCCAAAACAATGGTGTATTCAATGCCTCTTTTTCAGACAAGATGCCCCACAAAAAACCTAGTTATTCTATTTATAATGGGCTAAAAGTCGGGGTCAAGATATGACAAAAGTACCCCTGCAGATCACATCTTTACCTTGTTCTTGGTTCTTCAAGTCTAGTTTGATGCAAAACACCAAAACTACATAAGAATTGACTCAAAAGCTTTAAAGGACGAGCTACAGCCTATGTGATTAGTATCAAAAGTGTCGCAATTCTATGGCACATCACATGCTGACAGCCTCATGTGCTCATACTCTCAAATGCTCAACCACTCGCTAATGTATATGGTCCACACAGCCTAGGGAAGATCCATCCCGGAATATATACATCACTGACCATCAGTCACCCAGTACCGAGGAAGGCTAATCCAGCCCTGTGGAGAAGATCCATCTCCGAATATCAAGTGCTTCGGACAAGATCCATGTCCAAGGAAGATCCATCCCTCAATAATATCAACCGCGCTTACTAGGGGTGTGTAGAGACTTCGGAGGGGCTCCTACAGCCCAAGCGCTATCATAAAATCAGTATAACCCTGCAGCGTGCAGCCCGATCCCATAACTATCACTCATAATCAGGCTCTCAACCTCACTTAGTTATCAATCTCTCCAGTCTTACTCACGGGCTCACAATGTCATAAAAACTAGCCTGAAACAATGATATGATGTATAAATAAATAACAACTGAGACAGACATATGATATGAAATGAATGAGTATGACTGAGTACGAAAAATCAATGAAATAAGTAAGGTAATAGCAAAAAAACGACCACTATGGGTCCCAACAGTACCAGCATAAAGCCTAAACATGAAATCTAGCATGATTAATAGCTCAATTACTTTATCACATGATGAAAACACGGATATCAATAAAATAGAATCACTATACAGTGCCATGGAATCAACCAGGTCACTATTCTCACGGTGCACGCCCTCACGCCCGTCACTTGGCATGTGGGTCACCTCAATACAAATCACATAACACAAATTCAGGGTTCCGAACCCTCAGAACCAAGTTTGAAAGTGTTACTTACCTCAATCTGGGCAAAACTCTGCCCCAAAATGCCTTTGCCTCTCAAATCGGTCTCCAAACGTCCCGAATCAAGCCACAAGCAGTATAATTCAATTAATATAGGCTAAAGGGATCAATTCCACAAGAAACATACTAAATTATAGCCAAAATCCGAAATCGGCTCAAACCCGACCCCGCGCCCATGTCTCAAAATCTGACAAAACTTACAAAATCCAAAAGCACATTCACCCACGAGTCTAACCATACCAAATTTATCAAAATCCGACACCAAATGGTCATCCAAATCCCCAAAATTCATTCTCCAAATCCCTAGCCTCAAACCCACAAAATTCACCTAAAAAACACACCAACTAGGTGGGAAATCAGCGGGGAAAATCATTATTAAAGAAAAATAAACACAAGGAACTTACCTCAGTAATCTCTTCAAAAACCCTCTCAAGAACCTCCAAAGTCCGAGTTCCAAATGGTGAAAAATCTTGAAGTCTCGCCTAAATAGGTTCTACCCAGGCATTCCCGCACCTGCGGAGCCTGGGGTCGCACCTGCGCGTCCGTTTTTGCGGAAAAAGGGGCGCTTCTGTGAAAATCACTTAGTCCCAGCCGCCTCCGCACCTGCAACCCATGGTCCGCATCTGCGCTATCGCAAGTGCGGAATAACCATCGCACCTGCGCCCTCTACTGGTCTCTACCCTTTCTGCATCTGCGCTCAAACTGTAGGACCTACAGCATCGCACCTGCGGCCAATATCCTCGCAGGTGCGATCACACCAGCAGAAGACCAAACGTCATCAATCCTCCAACATCAAACTTTGATCCCTTAGCCACCCGAAATTAACCGGAGGCCCCCGAGACCTCAACCAAACGTACTAACAAGTCCCAAAACATCATAAAAACCTAGTCGAACCCTCAAATCACCTCAAACAACATCAAAAACAAGAATTACACACGGATTCAAGCCTAATGAACTTTGAAATTTCTAAATTCTACAAACGACACCGAAACCTATCAAATCACGTCCGGTTGACCTCAAATTTTACACACAAATCATAAATGACACCACGAACCTACTCCAACTTCTGGAAATCCAATCCAACCCCCATTATCAAAAAGTCCACTTCCGGTCAAACTTTCCAAAATTCTAACTTTCGCCAATTCAAGCCTAATTCTACTACGAACCTCCAAATCACAATCCGGACGCGCTCCTAAGGCCCAAATTACCAAAGGGAGCTAACGAAACCATCAGAATTAACATCCGAGGTCGTTTACACATTAGTCAACACCCGGTCAACTTTTCCAACTTGAGCTTTCAAATAAGAGACTAAGTGTCTCAATTCATTCTGAAATCACTCCGGACCCGAACCAACTAACCCGATAAGTCATATAACAGCTATAGAACACAAAAAGAACAGTAAATGCGGGAATGGGGATACAACTCTCAAAACAATCGGCCGGGTCGTTACGCCCTCTCCCTCTTAAACAAACATTCATCCTCGAACGGGTCTAGAAATATACCTAAAGTCTCAAATAGGTGTGGATATATGTTCGGCACTTCCCGCTAAGCGGTTATACAGTTGTCCCAATTAGATTCTTTACTGTAAATAGAAATGTACCTTATTTAGGATTCCCCTATTATATAAAGGGGACCACAATCATTTGTAACCATCATCAATCACTGGCAAAGAATATACTCTCTTACTTTATTTCTCGTATTTCGTCAGAGTTGTCTCTTAGCTTCTTTATCTTTACTGTTCTTATTCTTGTTGACCAATCTCGAGGCCATCACAACTCGAGGTCGAAACTGCTTAAACATTGGTTTGATTCAATTTACTTCTATCATTTATACATCATATTTCTTGGTTATTAATTAGTATTGAATTAAATAACGTATCTTTAAAACCATAAACAACTTTAGTTGTTACTCATATTTTCAAGGTAAACAGTTTGGCGCCCACTGTGCGGCTAAAGATAATACTGGTTATTTCAGTACTGATTCTGATAACACACGTTATTTTCACACTTGTTCTTATCAAGAATTTTTGTTCTCGGGTTAAACTATGTCAAACTCGCAAAATGCACCCGTACACAGCGATGAGGGTCTTGGATTTCATGGGGAAAACAACAATGTAGGGGTCAGTGTACCACCGATTAACCCTTGGAAGTGCCAAATGTGGAAATAGACAATGTTAGTTCACACATTGCTTTGAATGCGAATTTAGGCACAGACCTCGGAGGAAGTATACGCAGGGAAGCCCGATCTGGTGGCCAAGGAACACAGGGTATAGGAGATGGGGGAGTCAGCCTCCAAGTAATATTCGAGATGCTACAAGCTCAACAAGTTGCTATCGCTCAGCTTCAAAGTCAGCACAAAAATCCAAGTATAGTCGAACCAGAAAACACTCGACGTACTGAGCCGGTGCCAGAAAGGTCAAAAGGTAATGGCTCGGGGATTGATCCCACAATTATGAGGATGCTCG